GGAGCATTATTCATGTCTTCTCTCTTTCTATGGCCCATCATCCTCCATGTGCAACATGCAGTTATCTTCTGAACAGTAGGGGTGGCTACCTAATACTATGAGAGCAGATATTCTGCTGTTTGAGTTAGTGCAACAAGAGGTGGGCAACAGTTTCTACCAAATTCATCTGTACTACCACACAGTAAAGGATCTGCCCAGCTTTGCCACTTTCCCTTAGAGGCAAAATGGGGACTGAAGCAAGCTTCTGCTCCTGATGGCTTCCTATCAGAGAGGATATAAAATAGTTCAGGACAGATGGTGAAGAAAAAAGCCATCATGTTTTTCCTTACCTCTTCCTGACAGAAAATAATGGCGAAACAAGTCATTTAAAAATCACCTAGTGAGCAGAAGTATTTGAAAATTATTTCTAAGAACTGTAAGGCTCACCATATTCCTGCCTCTGTAACAGAACTTGGATAGGCCACCAGGTTGCATGGTATATTTTTTTTCTCCTGAGGTCACTAGAAAATTTCAAATTTTCTGAGAGGTAAATACAATTGACAACATAAAATCGTAGTGGACTGTGGTGGTCCCTGAAAGTACTGATATCTCCTGCTTAAGATAATATCTGGGGGAAAGGCAGCCACTTCCCGAAATGATATCATCATCATTCTGCCAAGAAGAAGGCTTTGGATTAGCATGTAGGGTCAGTTTTTCACACCCCAAAATACATGTGTGACCAAGAAAGCAGCTTGCATGTTTGTATAATTTCTGGCAGGAGATGAATTGGTCTGATAATCATTCATTGAAAAAGTCAATAAATTATGGATGATATATCTGACTAATTCTTAATGGCAATTTACCTTGTGTATGAAATACACTTATGTATTTTATATCTTCTTATAGTTATGCTGATACACTATTGTCTATTAAGTCAGAGGCTTCATCTCAAGGCCAAGATTATTTAAGCTGGAATGATATCCAGAACTGCATTGACATGGTTAATATGCAAATTCAAGAAGAAAATGAAAGTAAGTAATTCTTCCTGTACATTGGTGGCAGAGATGATAGTTTGGTTGCCAGGGCACACATTTCTGTGCTAAATGGCCTTGCACAGACTCTGATCAATAGAGAAAGCTGTTATTTTTGAATGGCTGTTGATCTTTAAATCCACTTGAAGTATTCCTGGTTATGTTACGCCTGGTTCAAATGTATCCAAGCATGCCTACCATCTGCAGCATTACAAATACTGTGGTTCAGAATACTTGTCAGTATAGTTCAGTATTTGAACTGGATGGTATCACTGCAGGGATTTTACAGAAATTGTAAATCAAGAGTGTATTGGAGGATAGGGTCAGAAAATAGGTAACATACTATGTAAAACAATGCTTCGTTAAGTGATTTCCAAGCCCCTGTTTTTAACCAGAGTTTGTAGGAACTGCAGAAGTAAAACAGTCTGTCCTGCTCTCCTTTCACATAATTTGATTTCCTATCTGAAAGAAAAGTTTATTGTGTAAATTCTAACATAAATGGTTTTGGAGAGTATTTCTTTCATTTAAGTGTGGCCCTAAATTTTGATGTTAAATTAAATGTGGTCATTTGGGCTTCAAAAGTGCTAACAGACTGAAGTCTCTGATGGATATAGATGCAGTTTCCATAAAGTTTGAGGCTATTAGCTACCCTCTCCTTAATGCTATCAGCACAGTGCACCCTGCTTTGTTTAGCAGTGGTAAGAGAAGAGTCTTACCTTATGGAAATACGAAAACTGGCTGTATGTTGCTTCTGAACAGGGAGATGCAGGCCTCTTGGCTCTTTTGATGCCTACCCAACCTACCATCCTTTGATACTGATATCCCATACTGGGATAGGATATAAGCGTATTTTTTTCAGTGGGCAAAATTACTTTTTGTGACTCTCTGCTTCAATGGAGTCATAAATAGGTGAAAAAGGCCTTGAAATAGATGTTTCTTCTTTAGCAGTCAGTCTCCACTGGTGAAAAAGCTTTGCTTGTAGTTTCAGTAGTACAGGATTCTGCCAAAAAATCATTAATAGGGCAGAGAATGCAGGAAAAATGCTGGCATTGATTTCCGTAAGCAAGCCTGTGTGGCTGCCCATTCCTGCCTTAGCCCTCATGAGAGCATGAATCCTGGACCCACCAGCTGTGGATGGCATGGCAGCAACATGGTGAAAGATTATCAGCTACCAGTGGAGGGTGTCGTCTCTCACAGAACATGAGAAGCCCTTGGCCAGTGCCCTTGTGGGGCAGCTTGACTTCAGGGTGAAATCTCCCCAAGCAATGCATTTCCACACTGTTTTGGAGAGGGAATACATCGTCACTTTAAATGAGAACAGTCTTGACAACTGAGGAAAATGAGTCATAGGTTTTATTAAGCACATCGTGTGATGTGGCTGTAGTCCTCAGTGTCCACAGGTCTGAACAAAATCAAGCTGATCTCATAAGATCAGCATTGCCAGTTTGATTAGAGGAGGTGAAGTTTAAAGAAATTAGGTTAAGGTTCAACATAATGTTGTAACTTGTAGGTCAGCATGTGTGTAACCTCTGAAATTAGGGTTTCAAGAAGTCTAATTCCCAACCACTCAACAAGTCTGGAGTCTTTCAGCACAGCCAGCCAATATGTTGATGCACACATAGATACGGTGTCCAGTATTTTTTTAAGCTTCTCAAAACCCTTTGTACTCTGTTGGTAAAGTAAATATTCCTTTTTTTTTTTTTTTTCTTTTTTTTTTTTAATGAGGGTAAAATTTTCTGTGGAGAGATAGGTTCAGTGGAATTAATAGGTGTGGCAGAAAGGAACTCTGCGAAAGTATCTTCACAGATGTCTGAAGAAAATAATTTTAAGTTAGTTGCTCTTGCTGTCTCTGCTTCTTGTTACTTGATTTTTCTTTTCTGTGTGTTACTGCTTTGTTTGTATCTGTTGTGTGATAGGCTGTATCTCTTTGACAGCTACACTTGTAATAAAATTTCTGTTTCATAGGAATTATTGCAATTGACCACATTAATGAAGCAATTGACCAAGGAAATGCTGAAAAAACTCTAGAAGCTCTACTGATGCCTACAGCCAAGCTGCAGGATGTGAGACCAGAAAATGCAAAGCATTATCAGGATGTTCTGCACCACGCCAAAACACAGAAACGCAAGGTTAGAGCTGTTGCCTCTTGTCAGATCTGAAATGACAATTCTTTTTATTTGCATGTGCTCTTGTCCTGTTCCTGCAGTCTTTGGATTAGTTGTAGGAATAATATAAGCTGGAAACAAGAAAAAAGCACTGTATAGTTTTCTACTACAACTTATTCTGACCATCACAGAAGATTAATTATTAATTAATTAACAGTAAGATACATTCTGTATCTGTTAGGTGTTTGTGTAAGGATCTAGTTACTAGTGATAATTAGGCAGGTAGTTATAGGTGGGAATTGAGGCTTCTGCTAGAAAGTATTCAGTCATGCTGAGGAGAGTACTACTTCTGGGAGATCTTTTGCTGAGAAGCCTCAGTTGCTGAAATCTGAGGGTCTGTAGTAGTGGTGTTTCTGTTCTGCCCTTGTCATGCAACAACACACTTCCCATCTTGTACATGCCTTCAGCTTCAGCCAATCTCAGCAGGATGCTTGTACTGGCTTCCTCAAAAGCAGTGCCTTGGTTAACATCACAACTTAGGGAAGTGTAAACACAGATCAGCCTAACAGCTTGAAGGATTTAACTGTAGGGAAGATTAGCTAAAGCTCAAAGTCCAGCATATATAATATTCTCACAGTTTCAAGATGTCTAAAATTCACATGATGCATTCTTAATGTCAGCTGGAAAAAGTCCCTGCACAATGGCTTGTAGAAACACCTCCCAGCTATTTTGCCACCCCATCTGCAGTACCTGCTATGAAAAACGTGTGCTTCTGTCATCCGCTGGCAGAGCTTTTGGACTGGGTGTTGCAAATCTCAGTCTTGTGTTCTCCCATAACGTCAGGTTTCACTAATTACTGGATGCTGAAAAGTCTCCACCCTTGCTGTGTGCTGGCTGTTTCATTTGTAGTCCTTTGACAAATACTTAAAACATCTGTTTTTAAGTAATGATTTATTAAAAAACCAAACAACTCTGCTTAGGGAGAAAGCAAGGCGCTGTATTGTATATGTTCCCAAAATAAATATTCAAATGCATTAATTTGAGTTACTACTCTAGCTGCTGAATAAGAATATGGATATCACCTTCCTTAATATATGATTTAGATTGAACTTCTCCTAAAAACAGAATTGAAAAGACTGTGCAATAAACTCTAGTCTTTATCAACCTTTTACTTTTTTGATCCCTGTTTATAATGCAGATTGATCTTTAGCTGTATTTAACATGTTTTAAGAATGAGTTGTGGCATAAGAGAGTACTTGATTTACAACAGTTAGATAGGTTTGGCTCAGAATTTCCTGGATTCCTCAGTGTCTGGAAAACGAATGGATTGAAACTGCTGGCTTGTTCTAACCATGCTGTTGTGACGTCCCTCTGGCTGAAGTGGCCTCAGCTATGTAGAATCTAGTTCCTATGAAAGCTAGATGACACCTACTCATTGCTTCCTCATTGCTTGCAAGTACAAATATGCAATTCATTTATTCCTGTAACTTTATACAGTTGCTTCTAACAGTTCTCACAACCATTTCAAACCAAGTGTGTTCAAATCTCATTGAAGAGAAACCCTGTGTTTAGGAAGTGTCTTCTGAATACCTGAAATGTTAAACAGCTATGTGCCATACTTTGATATGCTTCCTGTGTTGTGTAATTTTGTGTGACAGACACATGGGCTTTACAATAAAGCTGGCATTTTTGTTGTTTGCAATAAGTGGTTATATCTGGATTACTTAACAGTTATAGTTAAATGATGTGCTTGTGGAAGGCATTACACTATTTAAAATAAATTAGGAATCAGGAGAAAATGAACAGGTAGAGCCTCACCAGATTTCTTGAAGGCACTTCCCATTTTCCACTGCAAATGACTTCATTTTTAAGTTTCTGACAACACTATCATCAAGTACTTTTTATTTGTTTTACACAGTTAGTTACAGGTGTCAACCAATCACTGAGCTTATTTTGTAGGATTTTATATTCTGCATTTGTAGATCTTGAGCTTCCATGAATGTAAAGACAACCATTTACTTTACTAGCACGGGCAATTAATCAAAACTTGCTTCAGTTCTTGTTACACTAATCATTTCCTGTGAGGATGTGGAAATATAGAGGATACGTCAAAATAGTTTTCCTTTTTTGCTTACCAAGCAAGAATAAAGCATGCCTGGATTCACAGTGATAAGGTTTAGCTTTCAGCAGTCCTTGAGGGTTGTAGGAGCACGGGTGCTGACATAGTGGAAGAACAAGTCTCCAGAGCAAAGCTGGTTAAGCAGCCTCAGAAGAGATACTTTCTTGGAAGCATGTCAAGTTCTGTTTTTAAGGCTGTAGATTTTGCTGCACTTCCAAACTAATGGGACTGCAACTCTTTATTTCTAATACCTAGGGCAGAATCTGCTCGTAGTTGTGGGCCATAATGCGTTGTAGCTCATGAACAGCTAGTGCTTCCACTTGTTCCTATTCCCAATGTATCAAAACCTCACATTCACATTAGTCCTGCAGTGATTGTGGGCACAAAGAACATATAAAGTGTTTCCAAGTCAAGAATGGGCCTTAAAAGTGCTGGATGGATTCCTCTCTTGTTCTGTGGTCACTGATATTATAGTGTGACCATATGTTTGATCTTCTCAGAAGGAAGTTCTCAGCTGCTTCCCTCAATCTAGGTAGGTTCACCTGACTTTGTAGCACACAGAACAAAACAGAGAAGTATGTTTGATGACGCCTCTTGTGTGGGGTTTGGAAGAAGTAAATTTCACTGAGGTCATGATTTAACAACCTTAGAATTTTTTTTTTTTTTTTTTTTTTTTAAGATTTAATTGTCAAATCTGAGGTTTATTGTTACCTGGGTTAGTACTATACAAAATCATAATTCCAATAATATAAATATAGAATAAAATTCACATTTCCCTGGTTATTTTAACCATTGTTAGGTATATATTGGATTGACTTCGTATTTTTGACATTAGAAAATAAAGGAAAGGATCAAGACAACTGTTTAAGCTGCTAAGGCATAAAGCTATCAGATAAAAAGAATACAAATTATCTGTGTTGTAGTAGTAATAGTTGATATGATGGATAATAAGAATAATATTGCTTGGTACAAAGCAAATAGCAAAGATGGTAAGAATCAAAAGACTGACTTTCACATACCAGAACCACTCGTGAGTCTTGAGTGTTCGAATAATCGAAACATAGCAGAAAATGATGATTGCAAGAGGCATTAAGAATCCAAAGATAGCTAAAGAAACATAGTAGTAGAACTGGAAGGAAGATACAGTTTTGCAGGCACTGTGCACATCATGGCAGGTGTAAATGCCCAGTTGTTTCACGTAATAGGTTTGCTGCATTATGCAGAGTGGGAGCATGTACAAAAAGACGATGGTCCACACAGTGGCACAGACGGCAATGGCATAGGTGCGTTTTGGCAGGCTCTTGTAGGTGAAAGGGTGAACGATGGCCACATAGCGACTGACACTAATGCACGTGAGCAGCAGAATGGAGCAGTACATATTGCCATAAAATACCACAGTTGTAGTTCGACACATAATTTCTCCAAAAATCCAGTTGTTCTTGTTGATATGGTATGCTACTTTGAATGGCAGCATGATGCAGAAGAGCAAATCTGAAACAGCCAAGTTTGTGTAGAGGATGGCAGTGCACACAGACCTGATTCTGAAGAGCAGCATCCACAAAATGATGGCATTAGATGGTACACCCAGTAAAACAGCACTGAGGTAGACAGTGGGTATTAACTTGGTGCTCAGAGAACTAGTCAGGTATTCCAATGTGGTGTTGTTCACTTCTGTTAAAGTGGAGTCATTATATTTCTTCACAGAACTTTCGTTTTCCTTGATATGGATTGTCTTTGTCTCCCCTTCTATAGCATGAGGTGGGATGTAATCATAGTCTCTTGGTAAAATTCCACGGAAAGTCTTGATAAGAGACACAGTTTTAACTGCAGAATCATTCAGTGAAGACTCTAAAGCTCAAAAAAAAAAAACAAAAAAAAAAAAACCTGTTAGAATAGGTGAACTACTGGATTGGGAATACAATTCACCTTCAAGTAAGGAGAAAGGTAAACCTCTCCATCTGAAAAAGGACTTGTGTTTAGAAAGTTTGGTGGTGCTCCCCATTGCTTGGTTGTTCAACTGTGCTCAGGAACAATCTTTGTTTACATGTAATTTTGAACCCAACCTTGAAAACACAGTGTGAATGTAATGCTAAACTGATTTTTCCTGCTTATGAGATGCTTTCTGTCATCTTTATCAAAATTATTCAACACTAGTTTAAAGCTTGCCTTGTAGGGTTTTTTTGCAAGGTGTTAGCAGTGTTGGTAATTTGTTACATAATAAGCAACTTTGATCTAGACTTGGTAAGAATATCCAAGCACACAGCAGTGCTATCCTTGTCACTTAGTGAATGAAATACATGACTGAAGAAGATGGAAAGAGCAATGCCTTGCCTAGCACAGGCTGGAAATTTCAAATTTTCAAACTTGAAAATAATTCTAAAAATAATTTTGGTCTTGTGTACCAAATTAAGCCAAATTAAAGTTACATTGCTGTATTGGATTCTGTCTAACACAAACTAAGACCTTTCAGCACCTTGTACATGAGGAATTATGGTCCTGAAAGCTGAATGCAAATGTTTAGACTGATGTTATATCAAACTCATTGGAAGGTGAATAAAATTTTTCACGCACCAGGAATATTTTTTTGAATCAGTAAATATCACTGACTTGGGAGCAAAGCCAGTGATGCTGGTTACTCCTACTGATGCCTATTCCTCAACGCTTAGTAGAGAGCTTTGTAAAGGCATCTACATTTCTTACTGAAGTATGAATGTGTTCCACACATGGTCCGAAAGTATTTTGCAGAATAATTGTTGCAGAATGAACAGCTGCAAAAAGAATTTTTGCATTTAAAAAAAAAAGTCTTGGCTGTGTCTGATGCCAAAAGACTTCATGCAAGGCACAGAGTGTGGATCTTGAAACTGGAATTCAGAAGCAAGTTGAAATTTGGATGAAAACCTGTGGGTGCTTCCAGATTGAAACAAAATATGGAAAATAGCTTTATTCAGGCTCAGTGCTGTGAATCTGGCAAGTTTTTGGTAGAACATTTAGAAATCATGATTAGTATGCCTCTACCTCTTTTAGTAATTTTCTGGGTGATAAATAAAAAAATAATTTTAGCCGCTATTTAAAAGATAGGTGCAAGTATGCATATCTGTTTCATACAAAACGTAGTTTCTAAAATGGCATCATTTGAAAGCAGCTATCATTTTAATTAATTAAAAAACAAGTAGGCTTACTGTTCAGTCATTTCAGTGATTTTTGTAACAGCAGTTCTCAGAAAATTTCCTTCTAATAACGCAGTCTGAGGTTGCAGTTCTGTTGAACATTTCAAAGCGGAAGGAACGTGACTGTACAGGTTGAAGTGTATCATCTCACTACATAAATATGATGTGTTTTCAGAAAGGAAAGAGTGATTCCGTAGGTAAAAACCCCTTACTGAAAGTGACTGGGGAAAGAGAAAAGTAGTCCAAGGTATAACTGAAATGGAATGAAATTCTGCCTAAAGTGAAACTTGCTGGAGTATAGCAAAATGCAACGGATTGTGTACAGCCCATTTAAGCCAGTAAAGCACCAGGGTTATCAAAATTGAAAGTTTATACAGAAAGTAGAACTGACCTGTCGTAAAAGTTGATGTTAGAGAGAGCAGTCCAGTGAAAACCAGAATCTTCATTGTAGTTTGCTAAATCCAGATACAAAAAAAAAAAAGGCAACACAGTTTTAGTTCATCTCAGTGGTGTTGGGAGGGGATTTTCTTCCGTCTGTAAGGCACTAAGGCACAATTGATCTGTTCTCCCGTAGCATCCTGTAGGCATGAGATTTATGGCAAGGAGCTAGTTTGTTCTTTGTCTACTACAGCAAGAGGGTGTGACGTATCCAAATATGCACACATGACTCAGTTTCAGCCTCTGCCCAACACAGAGATTAAATTGCTTTACAGCAGCAGTTTAACTCCTAATTTACCACAGTCCTGAAGATGATGGCAGTAAAGGGAAAAGGGGAGGATCAGATGGAATTTCTATGTACAGGTATTTGGGGAAAAAGGTATCTTCTGGAAAACTGTTTGCTAAACACTCAGAGGTCACACCCACAGACCAGAAATTCTGTACTGCTGAACTCTATACGCTTCTTGGGGAGAGGCCAGAAGTGGGGAAGAGTGTGGTGATCTTGGTTTAGAAAATGCAGAGATGAAAGTAAACCACAGGGATACACATATGCCTTAAGACAACATTGCTGTGCTTCAGATTCTCTGCATCCACCTAACAGCCAGCTGTGACTGCATCCCAGCCCAGCTGCCTGCTCTGGCAGGCCACTTACCCCCCTTTTGCAGCCTCTCAATATTTTACTGTTCTGTTGATCTCTTCCTGTTCCTCTGCCTGTGTGGGTGTTTTCTGTTGTTTTTTCTTAAATTTACTTCCATATTCTCCTCCCACCACCTCCACCTAAGCCAAGAAGCAGTGGCTTGCTTCCAGCAGACAAAATTATTGTGAGTTCTGGTCTAGCTTCTAAGCTAGTGGCAAGGCTTAGCATAAACAGATCTTGGCTCCAGAACAAAATTTGTATCTGTTTTTGTACTTAATGCGCTGAAACTGAACACCAGATAAGAAATTCTTCTCAGTTTCGCAATTCTTTGCTATAAATTCAGTCATGGTGTGGGAGTTCAGTAAATGCACACTCAAGGATTAATTCTAGCTTTCTACTACACTTGCATGCATTCATTGTCATGCAATTGCCTGATGCCACTTGACTTTATTTAGATATTCTAGTATGTGTTTACACAGATGATGGAAACAGAGGTGTTTTTGTGCCATTTTTTACCCAATTTTTTTTTGCAATTTCTATGGATAATATATTTATCAGATTTTTTACATAGAGTTGGTCCCTATGACAATAATATCCACTGTGAAGATGGTTCTTTGCCTGCCCAGGAGTGTTTGACTTTGTATCTCTTTCTGGTTTTTATTTTCCATTATATTTATGTATATGTATGTATATATACGTATTCCCAGATTTTGATTGAACCAGTATGTTGCTGTTTCAGTCATCATCAGTCTCTTATAAATCTCTCACACTTCTGCTTCTATGGGCAGAATCTGGTGCAGCCCAGAGTTTCATGGGGTCCTGCCTGTGCATCCCTTGTGCTGGCAGTTTTTGTTGCAAACTTCTACCTGTGGTTGTTAAAGCTGTTAACACCTGCATTCTTCCTGGTGTAATATTGCCCATTGTAGCCATAGGCTGGAAGTATAGGGATAAGGATTACCTTGTAAGAGGCACCCTCTCTTTTATTTTGGGTATGAAGTGCATGCAGGGTCAGCCTGTAGAAAGTGAGACCTGCTCTACTGCTCAGCTCCTGCAACCTTTGCCACCCAAGCTTAGTTATCACTGCTAAACCTGAGCTGGCTTTTTATGCCAGCCTTTGCCAGTATTTTGTTATGTAGCCCTTATTCACACACTCTTCTCAAACAAGGGATTTGGAATGAAAACTAACTTCCTATGTGCTACCAGTGCTACTATCACAGGGCAGGCTGACATTTGCGTTTATTTAATGTTTCAATTACTTTGCTTATATGTTATGGAAATTGAGACATTTCCAGCTCTACTTAAAATTTCTATTCATCTAGCAGGATGGAGTCTTCTATGTGTGAAAACTTCGAGAACTTTTGTTTGAGCAACAGTTTAATCTACTCAGCAAATAGAATACAAACTTGTTTTACTGTTCATTTTAAGCAGTCCAATAGTGGTCGAGGGCTTTTGAAAGGAGTTTGTGTTAGCTCTATCAGTATGTTCAAATACTGTTTTTAATTCATTTTTGTAAGGTGTTTCTCTATCCCTTTTCCAGGAAACCCAAGATGAATCAGCAGTTCTGTGGCTGGATGAAATACAAAAGGGAATCAGTGATGCCAATAGCAATATAAAAGAAGCTGCAATCTGTAAGCATTAAGCTTCATCTGTGTTGTTCTTGTTCTTAGTCTTGGTCTTGACAAACTGAAGTTGATTTTTTTTTTTTTTTCCACTTCAGGGAAGTGCAGCAACCTTTTAAATACACTGAAAGAAACAGATGAATATTCTTTGTCATACTGAACTTAGGGTGATTTATGTCTGCAGGGTTATTGTTGGCTTTATCTGTGATTACACAGGTTAATGGGTCCAATATTTCCAGTGTCAAAGTACTTTCATGTGTCTGTTGAAACAAAAGGAAACGAGGATGGGAAGATGTACTCAAAAGTTTATTTTGCTTCTTTAAGACTAAATGTATGTACCTTGATGTATGTTGTAAATCTTTCAGAATTTGCTCTAACAACTTATTTCTATGTAACGCCTTTCATTAAGTGCTAGCAAATAAAGATTAGGAACATATACTTCAAAACACTTTAAAATTACTTAGAGACATATACTTAAAAGTACATAATTACATATGCTTTAAAATACTTTAAAAGTATTTAAAAGAAATTAAAAAGAACACTCAGGCTTTTTGGAATAGTGCATATTCTTATAGCTTCTGAAAAGGAGGAAATGTGTAGGAAAAAATGCTGAGGTGCAGTCTGTCAGGACACTGTGTACAAGATGAACTCAGTGCCTTCTGTGAGTGTAATGTAACTAATTTTGGTAACATACCTGTAGCATGTAATTACTTTGGGCCGGCATAGACCTGACAAGGGTTCAAGCTTCCGATTGGCCTGGGTCATCTCCTGCTTGAATTGGCTCCAGAGGCAGATGGGATGAGACTGTGCCACTGTCTTTTGCACCGAGAGGTTAAGTACAGCTGCTGTATTCAGCCTTCATTAATGCAGTGCTGTCATTTGTTTACCTATAGGCAGGCTATGTCAGTATTAGTGCTTTGAAAATCGTGGGTGGAGCAAAACAAACGTGGCCATCTATTACAGCATTAAACCTCTTATATGGTACAGAAACGGTCAATGTAATGTTACTATTTTTGATCTGTCGTCCTAATTCAACCAGTGACTTGTACTGAAGACACTTAACATCCACTACACATCTAACAAAATCGTATTGATTGTTTGCTGGCACAGGGTCTGATGCACATATGTATTCTGTAGAGCTGATATTCACTTCTTCCACAAAAGAGGGTTCCTTTCAATGCTACCCAAAGGCATGAGAAAGCCTGAGGAAACATCTGGGCGCAGAGAAGGGAAGGAAATGCATAACTTATAAACAGATGTGAACTAAAGAATGACTTGAAAACATGCCTGTTTGTGTCTACTGCTGTAAGAATCTTACAAACAGATCACATAAATTGCTTACAGAAATCAGTTATTATCCATATATAAGTACCATGTGATACTGCAAATGATAACCACAGCTCTGCTACCAGTTGTTGTAGTGAAGCTTTCCTTTGCGTAATCCATGCCAGTTTTCACAGTAAATACACAACTTTTCGTAATCTAGTATAATCAGTAGAACTGTTTTAAGAAGTCCCTGTTGGAAATAAGTGCTAGAATCCTGTGTTCTGCTCTCCAGGTTGAAATGAAGCAGTGTCTGAATAGCACATTCGTCAGAAGTGCTCTAGGATTTTGGAACTAAAAACTGATATTTCCCCACGGCACAGAACCTGATACTTGCTGTAACAAATGCATCCTGTTTTGGGAAGTTAACATGTTCTGTTCACATAATCTAAACTTAGAAAGCTCAACTCATTACTTGGAAATGAACTTTTATTTTTAACTACCTCGGAGAAGTTGTTTTTGAAAGACAAACAACTCCTACACTTCCCCCTAAAAACTTGTGTACAAATATAAAAGCAATGTAAGTCTTGTTTTTGTTTCACTCTGGACTAAATTTTTTTTTTAGATTTCTGCAGTAATGGCAATAGCAGTCACATAAAAGAGGGTACTGACCAGTGACACTGGAGGAGTTTTGAACACTCCTCAAGTTATTATAGTGCTTTAAATAATTTATATATTAAAAATTTTCAAACCATTGCCTTTACAAACTGTCCTGACAGTAACAGACTCTGTATCTTTGTTCAGGAAGACCTGAAGATCTATTTGATAAACACTTAATTCTTTGTGGTGTTTGCTGTGCAATTTGTATCACCTTATTTTTGTTCTCTCAAATTATGTCACCCATTGTAGTCCTTGTTCAAGTGGAGTCAAAATGAGATTGGCTGAATATTATCTGTGTAGCATGACAGCTTTCAGAAAGAGATATCAGCGCAGACCTTCAACAGGAAGGGGCTGTCTGTTGAAGTAGTGCCTGTCTTGGAAAAGCTGTGTTATAGAAGAGAGCTGATCTTTGGCCCCATTGAGAGCTCAGGCTTATCACAGTGGGCAGCTGCATCTTTGTGTATTTTTGCTGCTTAGAGGGAAGATGGGTGCAGAAGAGCCCTTCACTGTTCTGACCTACGGGAGGAGCAGGTCTCTGCACTGCCTGACTGGGACGACTATGGCTCACATAACTCGTAACGTTACAGGACTATGTGGGCCTTAATTAGAGCAGCAGCAGCAGAGTTAACTGTTAGCACATCAGTGCAAATGATCGATTTCTATTGAATTGGTATTTTCTCCATGCTGTTTTTTCCTTATGCTTTCCTGCTAAAATAAAGGCATGTTTAGTTAGAAGATGATAAAAAGCTAGGCAACGGAGGATCTGCAGAAATAATGGTTAGCTGCATTGCATCCACTTTTGTGTTTTCCAGCACCTCCAAAAAAGAACAAAAATATTCAGTTACTAGTGACCAGAGCTGAGAAAGTAGATGGGAACATATATGACTAGGGCTGAGCCATCTGGGCCAGCAGCATATAATGCTGCTGTTAATGTACTGCTTCCTTAATTCCTCACCGCTAAGGCTGTATGCCTGGGCACCATCATACCACGGCTGGCCATGACTTACTACAGCCTTATGG